CTTAGATTTTATTTGAGAAGTATTGATTAAAGTTCAAATTTGATATCATACTGCTTGATATGGAGCCGAGATTGGGATATAGCACAGAAATTTGCAAATAAATATTATATATTTTAATATACAATATATATAATATCATTTGAAATTTGATATGATTTTGTTGATCTCTATATATTGATATAGAGAGATTATTGTTTCAAATATAATTTATGGGTATTGTTATCCTTAACAGACGGCAACTGATTAATATAAACTCTTTTATAATCGATTCAGTTTGTGATAATATTGAGGAAAAAAATCTGCAATTTACAACTAGGTTACAAAACTCTGTCCATTACTTTAAATATATGGGCAATACCGTCCGCAATTTTTACCTGATATTAATAACTTTATTGCATATGTTTCATACTACTTTGAAAAAGTTAATCTTAATATTATACACATATAATTATATGATTGAATATCTAAATCTTATAATACTTTCCAAAACAAATGATAAGTTTATTCTAGGACGAGCTTTGAAATTCCTTCGTAAAATGAGAGAAAAGTTTTCTCTATTTTACCTATTTTAATTTGATAAAATTTACCAATTTCTTTTTACACTATATTATATTTTTAATTGTTGATATTTGGGACCATTATTATGGAAACTAAAATGTAATAAGTGTATTATATATATATGTAATATGAACAATGTGCTTTACATGTTATTTATGATATTTTAGTATAACAAATTTGTGATAATAATAAAAAAATATATGTGGAATTCGTATATATTATGAAATAAATGTTTAAATGTACTTGTTCTGATCTTTATTAATTTTTTATATTTTGTTATGTTTATTTTGTATACTTTCGAAGAAGATATTTTTGTTGGTTTTAAATCTTCAATCTAATACTAAAAACAAAAATAAAATTCGACAATTTTGCTAACAATAATAATAATTTTAATATTCTTATATTATAAATTGTAAAATATTAATTGATATTTATATTACTGAAATAGTATAAATTGTATATTTTTAATTTGGCAAAAATGAAGTATTTGTATGATTTTAATCAGGATCATGGACAATATGGATTTTTCTGTTTAAATGAGATTTTTTTTTAAAGGCAGATTATCAATTTAAAAATAATGACAATTTGAGTATTTTTTGTATTTTCTAGGATACCTATGGAAAAAATTCTAGGATAATTATTAGAAATATATATAAAAAAATAATACCTCCATACATTATTGGTGATTTAATTTTGCTCGCTATTTTTGTATTTAGAACTAACGACTTTTACATTAAAGTTTCTATAATATCATTACAGTATTAAGTAATAAGCTTTGTTTGGGCCTTTCTGGTACTTATCAATCCAAATTATATTTTGTATTTGTTATTCAAATATAATAAATATCCTGGTGAGTTGATCAGGTAGATATTTCTTGAAGAATGGAGATGTAGGTTTTTGGACCTACAGTTGTTTTTAATAACAAAATTACAAGTAATTATAATGGTAAAGCTTAATGTGCTGTAAATTTAATTTACAATAGCCAACTATGCCTAAATAAAAATTCAATAAAATATAAATTACCCTAATTTACTCCTCAGGCTCTTTTAGAGAGAAGATATTAAGAAAATGGTGAAACTTATGCGCTGTAAATTAATTTACAACAGCCAACGATGCCTAAATAAAAATTCGATAAAATATAAATTATTTTAATTTACCCATTAAGCTCTTTTAGAGAAGAAATAAACAAATTCTGGGTCAAACAATTTTTTAGTAAATTCCATAATGAAGTTCATTAATGATGACAAACTATAATCAATGCCAAATTTACTAGAAAACGGTATTATTATTTTTCATTATTAATTAATGAAGAAATAATAAAAGTGTTATTATAAAACACTAATAACAAAAGTTAAATATTTAGATTATAGGACTAACAACATGGTATTAAAAAGGAAAAAAAAGTAAGTAAAGAAAGTTAGAAAAAACATTACATTTATTATTTTATAGTTATTAAATTTGTAATTTTCACTTTTAGTTTCAATATGTAATAAAATATAATGTGATTAGCCAAAGTTTAAACTGAGCCTGAATATGGAAATTTCACAAACAAGTTTCTAAAGAATCTGTTTCAAATTATTTTTGTGCTACTGCTACTGTTTCGAATTATGTATCATTTATATAAAATCTATTGAAATCTTCCAACTATAGAACAATTTGATACCATAAAAGTCCCATGGGGGTCTCTTTATACCTGTTACGTGTAAGGATCAGGAATAAAGTTTGATCGAACCGTTAGTCCTAAACCAGCCATCAAAGAGTGAAAGTGAAAGTGAGGATAATTCAGGACTTATTTATTATTTTCTAAATTAAAATGTGATGATTTAACTTAAAAGTGATATTAGTAACTCATTTAATTCTGTGATAGTATAGTGATATTTATATAAAACAATATAATACAAAAATTATTAAGTATTTTATTGAGTTAAGTTTTAGTCATAATTTAGTGATATTTATATTTAGTGATTAAAATTAGTGAGTTTGTGATTGTTTTGTGATTAAAGAAATAAGATGCATTTCAAAATGGTAAGTTTGAAATTTATATTGATATTCTGTTTTTGATATTTTTACAAATTTATAAGTATGTATATTCAATTGTCACTTGCTGAGTATTTAAAACTAATATTCTTGAAAGTGTGGTTTTTAACAATATTATGCATATAATTGAAAATAAATGATAAAACTAGTGGGGTGCATGGCATCGTGCCTTAAGGCAAATTGCTGAAACTTTCCGTATCGTAATTGGTACGGAACCCAAAAAATTTACTCAAAATGTGAACACATTATTAAAATCTCTATAAAATATCTGATAATTTGATGTACCATATGTACATCAATAAATCAATAAACTTTTTTGACCGCCAAATGACGTTTTTAACTTATTTTTATTGAGAGTTCATAACCGCTAGACCTGCCTTTCCAAAAATTTAATCAGTTCTTCATCTTGTCAATACAAGTAAAATGTATTTTGAATTATTAAAATCGGACACTCCGTTCTCCTAAAAACTGAGTTACCGTTTTTGGCACTTTTTGTCCCGTATCTTCGGAACGGCTAGATCTGTTTTCGCCAAAAACTAATCAGTACGTCTCCACATTAATACAAATCGAACGTTTTTTGATTTATTCAAATCGGTTGATTGGTGTTCCAGAAATCGTCGACAAAAATTTGTATCCGCACACACACACATACATCCGTTTTTTTCTAAGGTATGATAAAATATTCAGAAATCTTTGAAACCTAAAGATGTCATTTTCGATTTTTTTGCGATTGCTTTGACTTACCTTACGGGAAGTTATTAATATTTTTAACTTTCCGTAGGGCAAGTTATAGTAATCGCAAAAAAATCGAAAATGAAAATTTTGATATTTATACTTTGACGTTTCAAAGGTTTCTGAACATTTTGGCATACCTTAGAAAAAATGGATGTATGTGTGTGCGTGTGTATGCGCGGATACAAATTTTCGTCGACGATTTCGGGAACACCGATTAACGGATTTAAATATATCAAAAAACATTCGATTCATATTGATAAGGAGTCGTGCTGATTAGTTTTTGGCAAAGGCAGGTCTAGCCGTTCCGAAGATACGGGGCAAAAAGTGCCGAAAACGGTAACGCAGTTTTTAAGAGAACGGAGCGTCCGATTTTAATAATTCAAAAAACATTTTACTTGTATTGACAAGATGAACATCTGATTTTGAAAAAAGGCTAGATGCCATGCGCCCCACTAGTATTTTCAAAATTTATGTTTAAAAATATATATGAAATATAAAAAAAAAATATTACCAAATCCCAGATATTATACAACTTGGATATTTTTAACTTAGTGAAGTTATAGTAATCGCAACAAAATCGATAATGAAATTTTGTGTATATCTTAACGTTTCAAAGGTTTCTGAATATTTTGGCATACTTTATAAAAAATTGATGTATGTGTGTATGCGGATACAAATTTTTGTCGACGATTTCTGGAACACCAATCAACCGATTTGAATAATTCAAAAAACATTTGATTGGTATTGATGTGGAGACTTATTGATAGCGAAGGCTATTCCAGCCGTTTCGAAGCTACGGGGCAAAAAGTGCCAAAAATGGTAACTCAGTTTTTGGGAGACTGGAGTACCCCATTTGAATGATTCAAAAAACATTTTACTTGTATTGACGAAAAAAGAATTGATGGAAATTTTGGTATGGCAGGTCCAGCCTTTTCGAAGATACATATCAAAAAGTGTAAGAATTCCAATCCGCTCATAGAGTTGTGTTTGTGCATGTCGTTATAGCTCAGTTAGTTGGCGCGTCACTGGGATTTTCGTTCGCGTTAGTTAGATAAGAAAGTCAAAACTGATCGGGTTCGAATCGCGCGGCTGTAATATTTAAAAAAAAATTAATACTTTTTATGTTTGTATAGTTGATACTACATGAACTATTTCAAATTGTTAACTCAGTGCATATATATCGCGAACGAAAAATTTATACATTTGAAATGAAATATATTTATTCGAAAAATAAGTCCGCTTAATAAGATTTTGTTTATATGTATATATTTTGGTTATATATAGTTTACATTTACATATATAAACAACGTCGTCTAATCTAATAAGTTTTCACATTTTGTCTACTAATAATGAAAATTCTAGTTTTTATAATATTTATTCATAGCCATTTTTGTTGACTAATTATTTTTATTCTTCGAATGTTTAATTACGGTACGGGAAGATTCAGCAATTTGCCTTAAGACACGATACCATGCGCCCCACTAGTTAAAACTATGATGTCATTCGTTTAAATCTGGCGCCATTTTCTCGCGCAGTTCTTCGCTGCAAGACGCGCAATTGTCGCGCACCATGTTCAGAGCGTTCGGAGACAGTCGCCCATCCCGCTCTTATTAATTTGGTTTTCTATGGCTCAGGCTATCTGATTTACTTGTTATTCCATGATTCCTAAAATGCCCTACTATAATTGTCAATACAAAGAGAATTTGTGTTCATATTTATACCACCCGTCGTCGAAGCCATTTGTTGATATGTCATTAATACAAACATTAAACGTTGCATGTGTTTTATAAGAATATTTTAGTGAATTCATTTTTGTCGTGAGTGACAACAAAAAAGATGTGTGCTATATTCGTACATACGTATTCTAATTTGTCGTTTTTATTCTGTTCTAGATTGTTTATAACAAGACAAAAGTGAGTTCGAATTAAACATGCGTCGCGTTTATGAAGCATCGAAGACGGTACATATATTTGTGAAAAAGGTTTTGTTAGGTAAAGCTAGGTCATTGAAGGTGCAAGTTTAGCAGCGAAGATGAGGAGGCACATAGATAATAACAAGGAGCCCGTGGAGCCCCCGGCTCCCAAAATTACAAGATCGGATGTTTTCCCAAGTAAGTAGGAGACATATTAATGGTCCAAGGTGAACTGATGTGATCAAATAATATTTTCTAATTTGACATCAAATGAAGCCAGAGTCTCAGGTTAAAACTCAGTTTTTCAAAAATGTTCAAAAAATGTAATTTATAAGATGACAATGTTTCATAGAAATACTGAAAAGTTTTAACAGTTCAATATGAACACTTTGATATATGAATTAATTCTTTAATCATTTATAATTGCATTTATTTTGAAGTTCTGACACATTTTTATGTGCATTATAAATATGCTTTATCGATGCATTTGACTTACTAAACTTTGACATCTATTTATTTATTTACCTTTAATACTACCAAATCAATTTAAAAAAATCAAAAACTGTTCGAAAGATATTAGATGTGAATGATACTGATCAACTTTAGGTGAAAATCTACTGAGCCGTTTTCTTGTAATTAACTGTTGAAAGAAAATTTTTATGGAACTTTTTATGGCGATATACACCATGTTTAATTTTAAAAACTCATCAAAGTTTAAGAAAAAGAGTAGTTTTTTCTTTATGTTTGTTAAAATTAAAATTAAACGGTTTACTTGGTATAATGGAAGAGTACTTGGTCTTAATAAACATACTAAATCATTAAAGTCTTACGGAAACTGGTTCAATTATAAAAATTGTTGATTTTTAAAAATTTGCTTTTAGAAAATACTCCTAGTTAAAGTGTACGTTTGTTTTCAATTATGTGTAATAAATCCACTCGAATACTTTTAATTACTCATAAATTAATTTATTTTTTATTGATTAAGTCGATTATTTACAAATACCGGTAAGTTTATGTAACTTGCATCAATTCAAAATACCAATACCAACTAGTTTATATATACATATCATTTGTCTACTTCATTATACAATAATATAATATTTATTATAATTAAAATATTTTTAAATATCTATTTAATCTTCAATTTCTTTACAGTATTCCTTTATTTTTCTTTTGAAATTATTGTCGTCACTGGTATTCTTAATATCGATTGGCAGTTCATTATATATTTTACCTGCGCTCCATTTCATTCACATCTAATTTCTGAATATTCTGTTTATAAAATGTTTTATAGATATAATGAAAGATTTTAATATTTCAATATGAACACAATTTGATTTGAATTAAATTAAATTAAGTCTTCAATCATTCATAATTACATTTATTTTGAAGTTTTTCTGACACATTTTTATGTACATTACAAATATGCTCTATCGCATTTCATTTAGTAAAAAGTGATTGAGTTATTTTCGAAAGAATAACATATCTAAGTAAATTAATGACTTATGTTATAAACAAACTATTAGTACTTTTTGTTTTCACTTTGATGAGAGTTTTGAATAAGTGTTCTTGAGTTATTTATAATTACATTTGTACATTTTCAAGTATATTATAAATATATCGATAAGATGCAATTGACTTTGTAAACTTGCTCATTTGTTTTCAACAAAAATGTTCTGAATACTTATTTATTTGTATAAATGAATATATAAATGTATGTATGGATTTTCCATCAAAATATAATATTTATTTTATAAAATGTTTAAATGTTATAAAAGATTCTAACATTTTAATATGAACGCTATTTAATATGAATTAAATTAATTCTGCAATCATTTATAATTTCACTTATTTTGATGTGTTTTTTTGACACATTTTTGTATATATTATTAATATGCATAATCGATGCAATTTTCTTCGTAAACTTTTACATCTATTTATCCATTTTCAAAAGAAAACAGATGCAAATAAATAAATGACCTTATGAATAAAAATTTAATTCACTATAATTCTAATACACACTATAATTTTGCTCCGATGTTAGTTTTGAATAAGTGTTTTTGAATCATTTATAATTTGTAGTTTTTCTGACACATTTTCATGTCATTATTAATATCAATGCAAATGTCTTTGTAAACATTCATATCTATTTATTTATTTACCACAAACACATCCCTTATTCTTCCTCTTATATATTATTATATATTATAATTATATAATCATATATTTTATACATGAATTTATTTTCAGCCTCTAAAGAGTTCGCTTTAAAGCTGTGTTTAAGATCGATATCAAGATCTACGGAGCAAAAGGATTTATATGAAGCTCACAGATTTCTAATGGAATATCTCAGGTATGATTTTATTTATTTTTTATTGTACTAAAAAAAATACTGTCATTTTAGATAACAAAACCAATAGATATTATTTTCATTTTGTAACAATTTTTTATAACAAAAAACAAGAAAACTAGATTACTGTTTTTCTGGATTGTAGTGGAAATGTTATATTTATTGTTCATTAACTTTGAACTTATGTAGTGAAAATGCTATATTTATTGTTTATTAACTATGAACTTACATTTATTCACTTGAAACTTAATTACTCTTTGTGTAATTTGAAATTCATGTATACAGCATTAATCTTTAACTTTTTAATAGGATGTGTTACTGATAATAATACTCTTAAGGTAACTTTTTTTTAACTTATTCTAAAAATTAAATAAGATAAGTAGTATTTAATTTTAAGTAGGATCTCTGTTTTCACATTTTGTCTACAAGGAACATATAATGAAAATGCTAGTTTTTATAATATTTATTCATAGACATTTTTGTTGACTTATTATTTTTATTCTTCGAATGTTTAATTACGGTACGGGAAGTTCCAGCAATTTGCTTTAAGGCACGATGCCATGCGCCCCACTAGTTATTAATTGTTATTAGCCTTATATTCGAAAAGGCACAATATATCTATTATCCTGCATAATTGTTGATTAATTGAATTGATTTTTTATTTCAGGCGACCAGACTACGCTGAATTAATTAATAATTATATTGAACTAACAGATTTAAGCGAAAAGGATTTACGAAAGAGATTACGCCAATCGATTGTGTGTTTTTATTTTTATAATGATAGTCTTGAACAGGTATGTAGAAATTAAATTCATATATTTGGTTATGTTGTGCTATATTTATTGAATTCTGTTTTAGGCTATTGATATCCCAGTTACTAATATGTATTTTATCTCGCAAATAGTTGTATTTATTGATATGAAAGCTTTAGAGTGGCAAACGTTCAAAAGTCGTAAAAATAGAGCTAATGTAAGTATCTTTGAATATATTAATAATTAATGCATTGCAATATTGTTAATAATGATTATTTTTCTTTTGTTTAGGAGGAAATGCGAAAATTTACGAATAGATCAGCATCAACAGTTCTATCGTTGTTAAAATTAATATTTAATGAAGACATATTTCAGATATTGCCTATATTTTTAAGATGTAGATGTCTTACCTATGAATTCAAAGAATTTTTTGACACTATATTTAGGTTTGTAATGCATCAAAAAACATCAATATTTCTATTTAATATTAATAACTAAAATTATATGACTTTATAATATTTTTGATCCAGCTTTAATAGTGTGCATATAGTGAGAGGGCAATGGAAAGTAATCCAGTGGGAAAATATTATAACATTTTAATTATTTTTCAGAAGGCATTTTTTTACAGCAAGCAACATTAACATTTCAACAGGTTTATCTGCAATCAACACTCAACATTTGGAAGCTGTCTGCAATCAACACTCAACATTCAATAAAATCCTGCAATCAACATTTAACAAGATATTTATTTTTGCTCAACAAATAACTAAACTGTTAAATGAAATAATCTTCAATCAACACTCAACACTTATCTACAATCAACATTACATAATTATATTTTATTATAATTATTGTCCTCATAAATGTAAAATATTCTTAGTTTCTTTCTTTATTAAATTAATTTTATATGTTTTTGAAATAACTTAAAGGAAAAACTACATTGTTAAAATATTAAATTAAATTCAGCTTAAATTCAGATTGTGTAAAAGTAAATCAAACTAAATGTATATATAACTCAATTGGAAGTTTATTTTATTGCCGAAACCAATAAGATAAAAGTGAAAGATTTTTTTAGTTTTAAATTCGATATTTGCACATCAAGATTGAAGATCAGAAGACATCACCGCAACATTAATAACATTTTTCTTAAGAACATATGTATATGAATGCCATCAACATTTGAACATATAATTGCTGCTTTAGTTATTTACTCGAGAGTGGACGTTTGTAGTAGGAGTAGTCTTAGTGCAGAATTTGAGTAGTGAAAATTTTAAATTGGTGTTGTAAATGTTTTATTATACACAATTTATGATAATTATATTTTTACTTTAGTATCATATATTAAATTAATTTTGTTTTTATTTTTTTGTATTGTATGTCATCAAATATTTTTTTTAGATGTATACTGCAATTTTATATCAATGAAATTGTGTAATTAGTTTTAATACAAAGCATTAAATAATTATGAAACTCATAGTGATATTTACATATAACTATATGTATATATATATATATATATATATATATATATATATATAATAACTGTAGTAAGTTTTTACATTTTCATTTATCTTGAATTCTGCACTAACATTACATTCCACTGACCATGACCATGTTTCAATGCAAATGTTTTAATGATGTATTTCATTTTCAGGAAGCTGCTGGAGCAAAGAAAATTTAAAGTAACGACACAAAAGAACTTCATATGTTTGGTGTTAATTTATAAACTATGGAAGACATTATTCCTTTATGGCTCTGAAGAATATACTTTTGTACAAAAGTTGTCCCTTACAAACATACTGATTCATCCAAATCTTATGGAGAACAGTGATGATGTGATTGTTAAAGTGTTCAAAGTAGAGAAAACAGATGTTGAGCTCAAAGAGCTTACACTGTTTTACATGAGGCAGCCGATAGATTTAGTGGCTGCTTGTCTCGACTATTTTAAGTTTGCATGTGCTGAAAGTGATTTTGACGAGTATTTACAGCATACAAATGCCCCATTTATACAAATAGATGAAGCAACCAGTGAAGCGGTAAGTCATATTTGTCAATTTCTTTTTTATTCCATCTAAGTATATATATATATATATATATATATATATATATATATATATATATAAATTATGTTTTTCTAAATATTATTTATATTTATAATTTTCAGTAAAAGACACTTCACATATGTAGTCGCACTAATATTCTATAATTTTACCAAATCATGTAATAATTATAAAATGTTCAGTATTAGATTTTCAAAATGGTTTAGTAACAAAGTTTTGCGGGAGATACGTTCCATAAAATGCCGTGAATAAAAAATCCGCGAATACAGGATGGCATTTTATATGGCTTTTATTTGGAATTGTAGGGATACGTTCCAAGGTGACAGAATAAGGAAAAATAAATATTGTTGACAGCTATTATGTAATATGCAATATCTTAAGTATAACAGATACCATATTAAAATTAATAATAATTAAGTATCAAATCTAACATTAATTACAATAATATATTCAATAAGATTCTTATATTATCTTATATTAATTTCATATTAATTACAATAACATATTCAATAAGATTCACTTTATAAAAGTTTTATATGAATGTTAGATGTGGTATTAAAATTATTACCAACTAATGTTAATATAGGATCTGTTATACTTAAGATATTGCATATTATATAATAGTTCTCGATAATATATAAAAAAGCATTTTTAATTATAATTTTTGTACATTTTTATTAATTATGTTAAGGCTAAGACAATACAAGGCTTACAAAGTTGCTTCCTTAATGCAAACTGATACTCAATAGGCATATCAGCAATTTCCCTCTTAAAAATAAAACTTTCCTTCTACGAATCAATGTTTATTTCTTCAATAAGATTTTTTAAATTAAATGCCACTGTAAATTTCATTTCGATTTGAGTCAAATTTGAGTCAAAATACTTTTTTCATTCTATTGGGTTACATTCCTAAAACGAAGGCGGCTTACGTCAAAGTTTTCTTTATTAGTTGAAAATGAAGGCATTTACAAAATATTTTTGGTTCGATATATTTTGGAATCCGCGAGTAATGAAATTTTTAGCCGCGAATATAGGAATAGGGTAGCAATTTTTTTAGTCACGAATAGCGAAAACGCAAATGTTTTTCAATTTGAAAATAATTAGAAAAAGGTAACTTTTTTTCATTTTACTTTTCCTTTTTTGTTATCCACAGTTTCTATAGAAGGGTACATTCCATATCCCCGAAATGTAGAATGAAATAATTAGAAATTGAATACAAACTTTTATAAATTTCATAAATATATATATTAGGGCGGGCCAAATTGTATATAGTCTGGTATGTAATTATGGTTTTATGGGTCAAACGATGGTCATTTTATTAAATTCTAAGTCAATTTCTTCATAATTGTTGTGTTTATTAGGTTTTCCTTTCAATATTTTTGCAATTTGCAGCTAAAATTGGATTTTAAACCAATTTTTATATTATTATTCAATCTTTTATTCGAACAAAACAAACATATATTTTATTAAGATCTTCTATTTGTCGATTTGTATGGGTAAAAAGAAGTCGCGTAGGTACATATGATTTTCGGATACTAGGGATCAAAATAAGATCTTAGCCGTAGAAATCTTATCACTAAAATAAATTCGAATGTCCTGTGCATTGACCCAAAGATTGGGTCAATTTTTGAAAAATCCTGTTTTGGCTCATTTAGAGCACCCCAATAATGTCCAAATGTATGACCGGCCCCCCACTAACATTGGAAAGTCGATCTACCCATGCTCTTGGTTCACCCTCTGGGACCTCCCCTTAGAGGTTCCTATATGAAAATTGCATCATTTTTGGTACTTCAACATGACGAAAATCAGCGATTTATTTTTATTATAAAATTTATTTAATCATAACATATGTAAATAAAACTTTGTAAAACTTATAAATTATTGCTTGAAGACTTTTGGTTTTAAGTCTGGAAAATTTCGCAAGGCTCTTTAATGTCGGCGCCAAAACAGTCTCTAGCTAGCAAAAACGCAGAGACAAAATGCATTCGAAAAAATTTAAACAAAAGATTTTAATATTTTTTTTTTTTTGTGAAAATGTTTTTTGTTTGTGTATGAATTAATACCCGAAAAAAGGGTTTGAAAAAAAATTGCTTTGTATAAAATACCTAAAACGCAGATTTTTTGCAATTTTTGTATGGATGACCTCTAAGGGGAGGTCCCAGGGAGGGAGCGAACCATATGCATGGGTGGATTGGCTTTTCATAGTTAGTTGGGGCTTGTCATACATTGGGACGCGATTGGAGCACTCTAAATGGGTCAAAATGGAATATTTCAAAATTTGGGTCAATGCACGGGACATCAGAATTCATTTTAGAGATATGGTTTCTTCGGCAAAGTATTTTGTTTTATTCTAGGGATATCCGAAAATTATATGTGCACTTTTAAATCGACCCGCCTTAACACACACACACACACATATATATATATATATATGTGTGTGTGTGTGTGTGTGTGTGTGTGTGTGTGTGTGTATTAGTGATGTTCCAATTCGAATCAAGTTTTTGAATCACATTTTGCTTGAATCGAAACAACTCGTATCAAGCTGAGAGATATTTACTGTGATATAATATGTATGAGCATAAATTTAATGAATATAAAAAAAAACTTAATATAGAAACTAAAAATGTATCAAATTACAGGTAACCCCCGCATAACACGGTAGTTTAGTTACGTTCCGAAAAAGTAGCGTGTTATGCGAATCCGTGTTATACGGGAAAAAGAACTAGTACAAACTAGTTTCGTTCCAAGAATTCAAAAAAAATTACTGCATATCATGATTTTATAATAAATATTATATTTTTTAATTTTTAAGAAGTAATATACTTTACATGAATTACATTATTTTTTTTTGTCATAATTAACTGGTAAATGCTATCCAATGCGATTCTTTTTTGCGAAATATCCTCATCTTCTGAGCAGTTTTCTGTACTACCTTCAGATTTGTGTATTATTTTTCGAAAAGATATTTATATATTTAACACATGCAAAGTTATCTTTATTAAAATTTTATGCTCATTTTATTTAAAGGATCTTTGTTTAAGATTAATTCGCATAAGCCCAGAATTTTATATCTATAGAACGTATCAAATATGTTATCGTTTGCATTAATAAATGAAATCACATTTATTGAACTATTGTACTGCGATTTTACAATTTTAGATTTAATAAAGTTTGATTTTTATTGATTTTACTATATTTTTTATTTTATTAGGGTTTTACTCAATTTTGAACCGTGTTAGAGCGAAGCCATGCTTAAAAAGCGCCGTGTTGTAAGGGGGATGGTATCAATTCTCAATCCGTGTTATAGAAGTACCGTGTTAGCGGGGGTTACCTGTATTCGATATACTCGCTTGCATTTAAGCCATTCAACTTCAAAACATCCCGGATAACCCAACAACATTCATCATTGTGTTCTGCATTTGTTTATTAGACGGGACGCCGAGTTTATAAAATAAAATAAAATCAACATGGTAGCATTCACTCTAGATTCCATATATTGTTTTCTATGCCTTAGTGATACAGAAGTGTTTGATCATCTATTGTGAATTAGTTTGAAATATATTTCAATTGTATTCAAGAATAAATAATTTTTAATAATGTTTGTAATATATTTTTTTGATAGTTTACAAGTAGTAAAGTATATTGGTTAAACTCAAATTTTTATCATAAATTTTGATCACATTATTTAACTTTTTTTGTCGATCTGGCCTGATTCGAGTAAAATTTGTTATTCCAGAAATGTTGAATCGGCTAATCAGTTTAGATTCACTACATATGTGCAATTAATTAATTTTAATAATATA